ATTCCGGCCACTGCAGCCTCGACCTGCTGGGTTCCAGCGATCCTTCCGCCTCAGCCTTCCGAGTAGCCGGAATTACAGGCACATGCTACCATGCCCAGCTGATTTTTTGATTTATTGTAGAGATGAGGTTTCACCAAGTTGCCCAGGCGGGTCTCGAACTCGTGAGCTCAGGCAATTCACTCACCTCAGCCTCCCAAAGGCACGGGATTAAAGGCTGAGCCACCGAGCCTGGCTGAAAAGTAATTTCTTAAGCAAACCAGAATCATTATGGTATTCTGAAAATTACTCTTTAAAATTAAACGCAGTTTGAGTAGAGATTTTTTTTTCAAATCTAACTTCTATATGTAGGTTCCAACAAACAAACAGCATTATGAATGAAACAACTCAAACACCTCCCTCCTACTCTACACACTTCTGGAAAAGCTTTCAACAAAAGACTGGGAACAGCAAATAGCATTTGACTCACTTTGATGCTGTGCTTACCAGTCATAGCCATGAGGCCAGGGGTACTCCAAAATGGAAAAGCCACAAAGTAACATCTAGGGTTAACAGAATGTTTCCATTCTTTTGCCCTGGAAGCTGGAACTACACAGCAACTTCTGACTTACTCAGCACAGCCAACAAGTGGCAATGTATCCATTTCTTTGCAAAGAACAAACTAACTTGATTTTTGTGGAAGCTAAAATTGCAAACATCATACTGAGTTAAAGTGAAACAAAACAAAAATCAGAATTTTCAGCCCATGCTGTATCTTTAAAAAAATACATCCTAACTTTGACCCTAAGTGGATTAAAATGAAGTACGATTAATCTCTACCACCTCCTCCCTCCCCCACCGTCAACATCATGCACTGGCTATATTTTCCAGTCCAATTTCTTCATGGTAGAACACTTTCTCATGAGACTGCCTGTGGTCAGGGCTGACTATGTCACAGGAAAAATGCTTTTCATGATCTCTAGATCATACCCCTTCCAGGTCTTGCCTGAGCATTAAATGTGGACACACCCGGAAATTGTTAAACTATTTTAACAACAGGACATTTTCCCACCTTAAAAGTGGGATACTCTTTGCAGCCTACCTATGTCCCTAGGGTGTTCTGAGTATTAACGAGTTAACATTAGTCAGGCACTTTTATTTCTACAGACAAAGGGCTCTGTATAAGTACAAAGTATGATTATCCAACCTAACTGCCTTTTTGGAGAATCACCCGAGACTGACAACGAAAGAGGCGGAAAGGCAACCACTTCCATGGCTGTCCTCTCAAGTGCAAAGCCCCCTCCTCCCAGTTACGTGCAGGGTAGCACTGGTGAAAGCTGGCTGTCCGAGCCGCCGCTGCACTGTTCCCTTATATAGTCAATGAAGAGGGAATCCCTTCTGTGTGCATATTTTCAATCCACATTCCAACACAGTATAGGCAATGAAACACATTTGCGCTGTAATTTATAGGGCTTCATACAACTGGGCCGGGCACTGTGCTAGGATCATGCACAACATTTTTTTCCGGATATGAAGAACTGAGAAAGCCTCTACAGAAAATCACCCTGCTTTTTAAAAACATGCTAGTGTGTGCACATATATCAGTGAACGCCTATGTGTAAGGAATGATAGCTGAGTGTGATAGCTCACGCCTGTAATCCCAGAACTTTGGGAGGCCAAGACAGGAGGATCACTTGAGTCCAGGAGTTTGAGACTAGCCTGGGCAAAAAAGCAAGACCCCATCTCTATTTAAAAAAAAAAAAAAAGAATGTCTATACGCAGTCATACAAACCCTACCTAAGAACTAAAACTGAAAAAAAGATAAATTTTAGTTTGCTCATTTATAAATTGAAATTTAATGCGGATTTGAGCCTTTCCTTTGGCCTCTGGAGGACTGTTTGTGATAACGACAACCTTGACAATCATGAAATAGGCTAGAAGGTATTTTTGAGGTACAGAGAAGACATATAAGTAGACGCCTTGCGTTACAGCACCTGCTTGACAACTTGAAAGAGGGGAACAAAATGTTAGCCTCTAATAAATTATGTTGCACCCTGGCCACAGACACTCTGGTATACTTTCCTTTGGCTGGGCTGTTCATGTTCAGATCTCAGAATTAGAATACAGTCTTCAACAAAACTAAAGAAGAGCTAGTTATTTGTCCAGTGGTATCATTATTTAAAATAGCACACACCACACAGGAGAACTACTGAGGCAGGCCATACCTAAGCAAAGTATTTAGAAAAAGCCAAACAACTAGACAAACTAATTTGGGGCAGTTCTGTCCAATAAAACCACATGCCACAATAGGCTAATTCTCAGCAAAAAGCCTGGCTAATTCTCAGCAAAAAAGCCTGGCAGATTCTCAGAGGGCAAAAAGGCTCTTGAGCCTTAAGGGTTAACTCACTAGCCCTTCTTTTTTTTAGGCACATATAATTTCCTTTCATCATAAAACAATGCATTTATTATTTTCTGTATATCTGTTAAAGGGCATGGCTTTCTGAGTGGAAAACAAAACAGAACTTGGTCACATGTTTATTTGCTTCAGCTACTCCCTTCCCCTTCTGATAAATAATCAAACATGCCATCCAGAAAAAACAAAACCAGCGAGCTGGGAAATTTGATGGTCATCAAATAGACTGAGATACCAAGAAAAGCAGCCCACTGTTCCCACACTGAGTTTTCGGCCACGACACCTACACTAACATCTGAGTAAATACCTTCAGTCACTCTTTCCATTTTCCCTGCAATTACTCCTACTGTTAAACAAATTGTCCTTAAGGCTGTCACAAACATCTTATTTTTTCTCGCAAAGGAGAACAACTTCTGAACATTCAAAAAGCCATCATAGCCACAGCAATGTGCAAGCGTGCGTGCGCGCGCACACACACACGCGCGCACACACACACACTCACACACACACACAAACTTATCTTATGCATTTAAATGTTTCTTCCATGAGAGGTTTAGACAACTCCAGAGCATATTATTTCTTTCTCTCTTCTCATACATGTTGTTTTAGGCACTAAAATTTAAGGATATTTAGTCTGGGGAGTCACAAACAAGGTTCAGAGTACCAACAATTCTCTTAAGATCAAAGGAGCTAATTTTCCATTTCCTGTCTATTCCCTGACCTGAACATAGTTTAAAAAAAATTAGCACCTGGCTTACCAATTAAACTCAAGTTGGAGATTTAGGGGTGTGGGGACTATGGAGGGAAGAGGGGTGGCAAGAGGAATGACTCCAGACAGGAAAAGGTGGGACCTTTTTAAAAATGCCAAACCCTGTGTTCAAAAAGTCACTTCCACAGAAAGGACTAAGAGCAGTGACATCGTTCCTGCACACAGAGCCAAGAGGCAGCCCAGGTCCGAGGGCTTTTCCTGCCATACTAATGACCCACCGGGAAAATGGTGAAAAGACCTTCCCAACATCAAAGTTAACAGCCTCTCGGAAAGTGAGGCAGGCTTTCTCTTTCCCTTTGCAGCCCGCTCCGTTTAAGCAATAGTGATATGAATGAGATAATGACCGTGCGTGTTTCAGCAGTCTGACTTTTATTGGCATGAAATTGGTACAAATATTATTAAGACTGATTCAGAAATGATGACGGTGTCATGATGCAAACATCAGAGGACAATTCCATAGATGCAGAATGACAAAGGCTCCAACCCTGCATTCTCTTACGACTTGTGATAACAGGAAGAAAAAGAAGGCAACACGAAACCATGTCACAATAAGCACAGAGAGGTTCTCATCTACGCTCAGCCTATGCAACTATCCTGACAACACACGACTGCTTACTTAGCTGACCACGTCCAAAGACACATTTGAAAGCAAGAGTGAATTAAACAAGGAGTTAGAAGGAACAGGTCCCCTCAAAGCTCTAAAAAAGCAAAAAGTCTTTGACAGAGAGAGGAGGGAGGGGAGAGGAGAAAAGCCGTAAACAAGTTGGATCATCCTATTTTGCCCTTCACAGAACGTCTGCGCCAGAACGGATCCCTGGTTTAAAAGTTTAACCCAGCAAAAATGTTCCTTTTTCTCTGGACACTTACAGAGAAAATGAAGAGTTTGGCGGAGGGAGCTCGCACTGTCTGCCTTTGGCTTTCCGTCTTCTTGCTGTAGATGGGCTCTGGCTGTTTCTGTGAAGCGGGGGTTGCCGAGTGGTAAAAAAGATGTTTGAATAAACAGGAAGTGCTGTGCGGCTCAAGCACACTCGAGGAGAAAACACACTGGAACATTGCCCTTTGTAGGCAACCTGGGGTGGCTCGCCTCCACAGTAGCTGGCTGGGCTCTCACTCAATGACAAAGAAACCACAAGAATTCCTCAAGTAATTCTTCACTTTCAAAGTTGAAAGATCAGTTGGAGCTTGCAGGTAATTTTCAAAGTTGCATTTAGCACTTAAAGAAATCTACGAACGCCACACGGTCTCTAAACCGCTCCAGGTCTGCAGGCTGCAACACAGACATGCAGTGCACCCTGGCTCGACCAAGCCCTAGCCAAACACAGCCCATTCACGCAGACAAACACACACCAACAGGGTTTCGGGAAACCTGCTCTTGAGATATTTTTGTGGTGACATTTACATAGGCAGGATGCTTTTTAAAAAAAGAAGAAAGAAAGAAAATTCAGCTTTTGCAGACTTCTGAAGGGTTTGTCACATGCATTTTTTAAAGAACACAACGTCCGCATTCCAGGGATATGCCCTGGATCTTGCTTCAGCTGCTTTTCCTTTACATTTTCCTTCTCCGCGATCAACCAACTACCTGTTTGTCTCAAGATGCCTAGTTGCCTACTTGAACACTCCTTAGCCCGCCCCGAACTAATTATCAAAGTCCTGTCTTCTGTCACCGGAGTAACTCGACAGATACTGTAAAGAAAAGTAAACTGCGGAAGGCACAGCAAGTCAGCTTGAAAAATAGGATGAAGAGTTGAACAGCCATATTCAATAAAAAAAAAAGGAGGAAGAAAAGGATTCCTTCTGAAAATGTATTGCTGTTGTGGCAATGTTCTTCTGCCACGGAAACAACTGATTTGTTATTTAGCGTGGAATGCTGGACTGTCTGTCATCCAGGTGCTAATACTCGGCTAAAATAACTCATTGGGAGCTGTCAGTGGGATGTTTACATAGGCCCCAATCTTTTCTTCATAGAAGGAAATTTTTTACTGGAATTCATCTTCTTTTGATCTCACATTCAAAGCAACGGCAGCTTGATAGACATTCAAGTCTGAAAGCAAATCCAGACGCTGAAGATAAACCGCCAGAATATGACAGGCAGAAGCATCTAAAGCTTATAAAAATGAAGAGAACAGCATGTCGCCTGAGTATTACAATAGCAGAAATCAAGAGACATATTAGGTGGAACTGATCAGCCACAAAAACAGTTCAAAAGGCAGATCATAGAAACAGAGGACTAGGCTGGGGGGAAAAAAATGGGAAGGATCTGGTTTACTGCCTCACCTCCCTCCTGAGCCCACGATGCTCGCACGCCTGCGTCTCCACTTTTGGGAGGGGTGGAGTATCCAATGCAAATCTTCCTCTCTAACTCAGCCGGTCCAGTTACAGACCAGCAAGCGATTGCCTAGCAATCCATTCTCAGGGGGCAGGGGAGAAAGGCAGGCTCTTCCCGCGCTCAGTGTGCCACATGCTGCATTTTATCAGCAACCCCTTGCATCTGCTCGGTAGTGCCCTATCCAAGAGCACAAGGCCTGGGCGCCATGAAAGTGGGAGGTCAGGAAGCCCATCTCTCAAGAGAAGAGCTATGACGCGTTCGAGATGAGGCTGGGGTGCCCTTGGCAGTCCAGTTCCCTAAAATGGCAAGTGATGGAATGAACACAAATGCTCCAGCCTCAGTCACACAAATAGATGTGTTCTGACAAACAGATATGGGACTGACTGCTCAACAGATTGTAGCTTTTAAGCCAACCAGGGCAATTCTGCAAAGGAATTAGCACATGAACTTTCTGAAGAGGCACACGCTTTTTTTTTTTAAATAAAGCCTCTACTTTTAATTAAAGTCAGGGCATATAATGAAAAGTAATTCTCCTAACAATTTTGCACTTAGAGCAGTTTGTTAACAAACACTGAATGGAACAGGCAGCATCAGGTTGAAGGGCAACAGAATTCCACATTATAATTTAGCCTGCGGTTATTCCTGATTGCGAACACCCTCTGGGACTGCAGAGCAAGATCTTCTTTTGCTGCATGCTTGGATTTTTAAAATTAGTGCTCCCCTTTTTTTTGCATAATAAACCAACAGTAAAATATGAATTTAAAAATGTACAAACCAATTTTAAAAGCTGTAATCAGTTCAGGATTTGCCTTGTGCAAACAAGATTCCTGGTTAACTAAGTTACAAATATAAAAAACAAAACACACAAGCTAAGCAAAACCCTACTAGATTCTAAGACCGCTTTAAAAAAAAATACACCTTCTGTCATGCCTATACAACTATCAGATGGGCTAACGTTGATAATTTTGCTTTAAACTATCCTGGTTCAATCTGTTGAAGTCACCACTGTTCTTCTCTAACCTTAAAAAAAAAAAAGCAAACAAATAGAGTTGCTTTCAACACTTACACCAAAATTCTCCCAACTAAATATTCCATGTTGCTGTAATTGTTTCATTTACCCAAAACACAAAGAGGCTTACTGTGAAAAGCAAAATGCAAATTTCCTTATACATCATAAAATATTCTTCCTCTCCGAAGAATGCAGCCACTATCACTGAGAGCCAAGGAGCAACACTTGTTTCTCATGGCCATTAGAAGACTTAAAAAAAGGAAAGAAAATCTGCCACATATAAAGACCTTCATTAATATAATTAAATGACTGTTGGGTTTTTGTGATATAAACAACTTTTGATATGTCATTTAAAAACCTCATAATAACATCATTAAAGAGCTACCACTTTTAAAAGAGAAATTGTCTGCTCAGGGCCACGGAGTAGTCCTCTCGCTCTGGGCCTCTTCCTCCTCTCCCTTTCAGACTTCTCTTGGACTTGAATGTCACTGTAGACCTTGAATCCTTGAATGTGAAATGGCTTCACGCTAATTGCTCTAATTGCTTGAAGATGTGCAGGCAGGTGAAACCTGATTCCCGTGGCCATTGTAGAGACCAAGAACAACACAGGAATGTTTACACAGTGGTTTGATTTTAATAGACAGAAGGGCTGAGTTTAAGACAGCAAAAACACAGCTAATAGGTGACCTCTTAATGTAGTCCTCCTTCAGAAAAAAAAAAAGGACACACAACAAAAATACAATTTCATGTTCTAAAAGGCAGTGTCCTAAATACCAAGGTTATTTGCTTGACTCTTTGGAGCTGAGTACACGTTACATTGCACCTGACATTATACACCCGAAACTCTACCCCGAATACATTTTTTTTTACCACTTTCAAACAAAAAAGCACTTTATATGTCACTCACCTTACAAACAGATTATGACTCTATGGTATCTCTAAGTAAGTGCATTCATTTAAATTTTAAATTGAATATTTTTCACTACTCTAATACTCCTTATCCCTTAAAGGGGAAGGCGTGTGTGTCTCCCTGTTTATTCCTTTGCTTCCATTTATGGAATTCTTGACCCTTGAGGGCAGTTGAAGTTGAGCCCAAATCTTCTCACAATGGTGCTTTAAGCAAGTGTATAAGTTTTTGGTGTCCTTTTTCTTCGTGGCTGAGTGGGACTGTGGGCTCCTTCTCACTTAGAAGCTAAAGAGGCCATGAATGTAGCCAAAATAGTTATTCAACAACAGTGGCCACTCTCACTGGATGTTTTAATGACTTGGATTGGACACAGAGGTTTAGCAATGGCCCTCGAGGGTCCTCTCTTAACAGGGCACAAATGTAGCCAATGCTGGACAGGAAATACACAACAGCAAGGCCACAATGAAAATATAATAGCAGCTATAAGGTGTCATGAACAGAAGGAAACCCACAAAGGTCAGTGGCAGGTTTAGACAGGTGTCGAGACACACACATTATATATATATAAAAGGATTTGAATGTATAGAAACATTTCATATATAGCCAAGGAAACATTGCTGAACAAAAAAATAAGAATTAAATATCTACTACAGAAGAAAAAAAATGCTGCAAAACAATGAAATTATTTTAAAGTTAAGTTGGGCGATTAAAAGCCATAGAGGCTGGTTATAGTGGCTCACACACTTGTAATCTCAGCACTTGGGGAGGCTGAGGCAGGAGGATTGCTTGAGGCTGGGAGTTCAAGATTAGCCTGGGCAACAAAGTGAGAACCTGCCTCTACAAAAAATAATTATTATTTCAGCACACTTCCACGTGCCTGTAGTCCCAGCTGCTTGGTAGGCTGAGGCAGGAAGATCCCTGGAGTCCAAGAGTTCCAGGTTGCAGTGAGCTATGATTCTGCCCAGGAAACAAGTAAGACTCTGTCTCTTAAAAAACAAAAAAAGGAGGCCAGGCTCGTTGGCTCAACCTGTAATCCCAGCACTTTGGGAAGCCGAGGCGAGAGGATTGCCTGCGCCCACGGGTTCAAAACCCGCCCGGGCAACTTGGCGAAACTTCATCTCTACAGTAAAATCAAAAATTAGCTGGGTGTGGTAGTGCGCGCCTGTAGTTCCAGCTATTCGGAAGGCTGAGGCTATTCGGAAGGCTGAGGCGGAAGGATCGCCGGAGCCCAGCAGGCGAGGCTGCGGTGGCCGGAAGCGTGCCACTGCACTCCAGTCTGGGCGACAGAGTGAGACTCCAACTCAAAAAAAAGAAAAGGCAGTAGATATACCTTGTAAATGAGAACAGAGGAGGAGGTAATACCCCACAGCAAGGATTACTGTCTAACTGCTCTGTCAAGTGATGCTGTATATTAACGTCTGATGATGAAATGTAAAATGCAGAAGAAAGGGGGAAAAGTTCCTTTAAAACTATGAAAATATTTTAAATATATAAGCTAAGTGATAAATATAGGAACTCCCTTGATTGGACTATTTGTCCCCCAAATACTGAAGACAAAATAATGAAATAAAAATAGCTGTCAGAACATCCTTTCAAATCACAGGCACCTCACACATTTATAGACACTCATACCTTGCTCCAAAAGTTATAATACCTTATTAAGAAGTCATGCCCTCCCCTCTGAAAAAGGAGGGGGGAACCAGTATCCATTTAAAGATTAAGTATAAACTAGACCAAGCTAGTGAGAGGAACACAGAGGGAAAAAGTAAACAGGCCCCTACCCCCTGCCCCCCAAATAGTTCCCCTTTGAAAGTTCTAAGTGGTGAGTGCCTGGTACCAAAAGCCGCCCTGTTCCTTGGAGGGGTCAGCAAAGCTATGCTAAACTGACAGGTTCAGTTTACAGCAGGCCAGAACTTTGTTTGGATATACTGGCCTTGTTCACCGCCAGCTTAACAACAGATGGCTAGAAAACTTTCATTATGTTGCACAGGACTGAACTGCAAACAACCCAGAAAACTGTGAAAAGTTTAACTCCCTCTAAACCAATGTGCCAAACCAGGGCCTGCCCAGAGCTGGTGAACCAGCATAGGGCCAAGGGGACTGCGGAGCGCATGGTTAAAACAAAAATGCCCAAGGCATCAAGGCACCTTTCCAGACTCCAAAACTACAGCGACCCACCCAAGTCTGTATTTAACTGTTCAAAGGCCAGGCCTTATAAGGAGGTGCATCGACTGTGCGTTCTTTATTTTCCCAAAAATGTACTGTCAGACTTTCTCTCCCTCTGGAGAAAGAAAACCTTCCTCCAAACAATTCCCAATTCCCAAGCTCCCTTCCTGCCCTCCCTTCTCTTGGAAGTTGGGAGGACAGGACCAAATAGTCTCATCCTAACACCTAGAATTAAATATGATTTATCCAAATCTGTATATA